TGACCGTGATAGAATTTAGTAATACTACTAATACACATGAATGGTGATCAAAATAAAATCTAAATACATGAGTGATAATTATATGGATTTTGGACAGATAGCTAGGAAAAATCGTTAAACATGAGTGTGTTCGTAAGAGACATGCTCTAGACTCAATGTTCTGATCTTATACTTGCCGGCTGATGGGCATACAAGTTAGTTGCACGTATGTGGGCAGAATACGATTTAAATGAGATATGGTGATTATAAGTTACTGAAATCAGTTAAGCCTGTGTCACATTACTAAGTGATGTGGTGCTGTAAGATGTACTCGGCCAAATACGTTTTTACAAGATGATTAATGGTGAGTGATGCTCATGTGATTATCAGGGAGAACATAAGTTGTAACCAGGGGGAGTACACTCCCAACTCATGTCTATGATAATGGCTTGAACCTTAGTCAGTGTTGGGGTATATTCGACATTGATGTTTTCAGTTTGCAGGAGATTTGCTCGACTGCTTATACTGATTATTTACATGCATGATTGTGTCGCTAAACCATCAATTAGACTGACAAGGTTTTGAGATATTTACTGAATGAGCAACTGAGAGAGAAACATACTGTAATCATCTGTAGTGAATGAAGATAACAGAAAAAACAACGTTAGTGATAATTATAAGTCAATTTGCTGATCGATTTTGTTAATAGTTTCATTAATTTTATCAATCATATTACGTGATTGTCAAGTCATGACAATGCTTTATGACGATATCCTGGAACTATTATGTTTAACTAGTTATAGTGTTGAATGAGGATTAGTCAGTGGAAAAATAGGTATTGTTGCTTTAGGTGATTCGAAATTATCAGAAATTTGTAACGTTAAAGAATCCGAGACGCCTAATTTAATTATAAATTTTATATCAGAAAGATTCGTTTAGTGTTATTTCTAGTAGGCTACGGAGTTTTGATTTTAAACGTTTATTTAGCCAACAGCTACCTAGGGATTTAGTTATTTTACAAGTGCAGTTGATAGTACCTAAATTTTTAATCTTATTATCTAAAGTATGTTTGCATTTTAGGCTGCTACTATGATAAACCAATCCATAAACCCAAATATGATTAGCAACAACGACTATGGTGGGTTTATTGATAAATGTTAAAGGCGATTCAGATGATTTATAAATTCAAAAGATATGAAGATATAGTGTAACGTATGTACGGGCCACGTTAACATGCAGGTTGTTGACGTATATAAAAATTTAAAAATAATGAACATGACCAGGAAAAGTAATTTTAAAGTCAAGACTGCTTATGAAACTTCAGGCAAGAATGTAACGCGTTATAAACATTCCATAAGAAGTTACTGCATTTAGCCTAGGGACACTCACAAATATGTGGCAAAAGCAACTGGAAAGCATATACATGTTTAGTACAAAAAATCATTAAGTAAAATAGTTGAACTCGCCTGGATTATTTTTGAAAATTAGATTATTCAGTGGACGACATATATAACGCCATTCGTGAGTAGTATTGATCCAAAAGCATCCAGAATAAATCATGCAGTATGGCAATTAATTCCAGGGTGCTTGATGCTGTTGGGGTTTTTGCCACTCGCTCGGATCAGAACAATCGAATGAACCCAGATAATTGTGTGGTTGTCATTGAACGAACCATCTAAAAATGACCTTATGATTGCAGAAAACTTATAGCTGGAACTCACCGTATGTTTTTGGAGAAGTCATCCTCGTTGTTTGGCAATGGAACTCGAGAACATGAAATTAGGCAGGCAGTGGTCGGAAGAGAAGATATTACAGGATAGTGCATCGTTTAAAACAGGATGAGGTGTTAAGTGAAGGAACACTGAGAATTAGATCCAGATAACTATTTAGTCCTTGATCGCATTGTTAGTCAATGTATATTTACGCTATTTACAGGTCATATTTGCTAGAGCTTGATGTTTAAACAAGACTATGTCTCTGAAGCATGTAAATGCTATTACAGCTTGTTAACAAACCATCAAAGCTAATTAGTTAATATAGACGACCAGTTTTTATTATCGATTGAGCTAGTTTGTCATGAGGACTAATCAATATAACATTACAATGATCCATGTGAGCATTAATCAGGGGACTATTAGAATACAGGCTTAACATAAATATAAAATCGATCGAGAAAGTTGAAGTGGAAATAAGGATTAATAATAATAGGTTGCGTTTCTTTAGTTGGGCTCACCAATGTAGAACTGTGGTCTCCTATGATATTAGTACTGCTTTAATAATAGACCTAATCCTAAATTTGTAGATTTGTCATGATATAACTGCCTAATCCATAAGATCTTACGTGGAAGTCACACCATCGACTACACCAACTCACTGTATCGTATCAATTACCAATACATGATGTAGAACAAGGTTAGGCTAGAGAAAGAACAATATATTTAATATGAACAGAAGATATAAGGTTACATTCGGCAGAGACCACGCCTGCATGGCCGAGCCATGCCACTCAATCAACCTAGTCCATTCAATTCATTGTTCGCGCCTTCTCCATCGTTGGGTATTTCTCCGCGTTAAATATTGAATATCTATTTTCTGTGTAGTCTCGTGTTCACAGCTTTGTGTGGCTATTGTCCAATGCCACTACACATCTTCCCACCGTTCTACCTGCCTAAATGTTCATACTTAACTTGGAAAACTGAAATTTACACCATAGTCATTTAAAGCATTGCATCGATACCTTGCACACAGTTCATAACTTGTGACTGCCTGATAAGCTTGCGACACGGTACTTATAAAAGTGGTATTTTCCATTAGAATATGAAACAGAGAGCAACAGGTAGGTCGTAGTGCTTTATTGGACAATAACATTAAGAGACCGTAGTATTGCAAGGGGAGAAAAGGTGGAGTTAATGACCAGCAGCCATCGATGTTGAGTGTAATGACTCCACCCCACCCATGTCTGTGGGGAAAAACGTTTGTTTGTTATGGGCTTTTTACGGCTCAGAACAAGGCAATCAGTCGGTTATTTTGTGGTTGTTCTCCCACACTCGCCACTTAGACTCACATTTTCATTTTTATGCTGGCCATGCTATTCTACATAGATAATGGAATTCAGGCCTCTGTAGTATGACTTAGTGGCTACCATTTGACGAAAAATGGGAATAGTAGAGGAAAAAATAAGCAATAAAAAATTAGGTTATTGGGGTTTCCAAACACTTCTCCATTCTGTCACGCTTTCGATGTTAACGAACAACCTTCATGATTTTAGCTCCAACTTTCCATCATTTGAAGCCATTCCACCTTATTACACGTCACAACCTTTTGTTTTATATCTGCAGACTCTGTAACTATGACTCATTCTAGTAATATCAGCTAGTGTGCGTTTCGCTTGATGATATACCATATATTCACCAGTTCCACTACGAACAGTTGAGTATTGTTGAGTGCTTAGACCCAAAGCCCTCACTGCTCCTTTTTTCTCTTCTTCAGCATCACATTCTCAGTGCACAGCTATAGAGCTAATTCCTACACCTGGAACAGACTTTGCGTAGGCGTTTGCCAAGGTCACAGCTTACGCTGAGCACCTATCACTAGTTACCTTATAACAACCGAGAACTTATTAAATAGACACACCGCATGAATACTTAGTAGCACCATAATTTTAATTCTGGACTAGATTAGTGTTCGCCAAGATAGCAATCTGAACGAGGTGACGTTTTTGAATAGGTCATAAAAACTATAAACTCATAGTACAGCACTATCGCATAAAATCAACTGTTAACTCGCTTGTATATCTGCACGAATATTCTGCGACTGATTCTCATTGATTTTATCTGTTTAATAAACCCACTTGAGTATTTCTTCTCCCACAAACCAATGCTGTTTATCGTTGATGGTGCCTTTAAGAATGGTGTGCATTTGCTGTGTCGGAAATATATTGTTATCATTGTTACTTTTTTCCGAATTACAGAATGTCCTAGCGTGACCCTCAGGGATCAGTACTGAGACATCCCTTTTGAATTCATATGGCCGATCTTCCTCAGAAAGTATTGTCTGACTCATTAATTTTTTCTGTGTGAACATTCGGAGAGATACTCACAATCAGGATGATAAGCTGGCACATCTAGAGTATCTGACTAGTCTTCAAAGATGGGCGGATAACGGACTTATTTCCAACACTTCAAAGTGTAATGCAGTTCATCCGAAACATGTTACAGACTACGCATACAAATTAGGTAACCCATCCCTAGAGGAATCCCAAGTTGAAAAACATCTAGTAGTATTAATACCCAACGATCTAAAGTCTTGGGCGAATTGCGACAAAATGCCTTTCAAGTAAGCCTTGTACCGATTACGTTGAAGCTCATTATTGATCAGTTCGACGACAGAACTTTTAAGTTAACCTTCAAAAGTTTTACTCTACCCTATTTAGAGTATGAAAACATGGTATTTCCTCCCCTACTCCGAAGAGGCAGGAACATATTGGAACGTGTCCAAAGACGAGCCACGAAATCAGTTCGGGGACTCAAATTCAAGCCTTATGGAATGCATCCTAAATCACTGAAACTTTGCCCACAGGAGTATAGGCGTCTCACAGCTAACCTAATGACCTACAACACCCCAAACACTTCTGGGCATCTCCTTAAATACCTACTTAAACTCAGTGACAACACAAATTTTAGGGGTAACATCCAGGCACTGTAGACACAACATAACAGAACGGACTGTAGGCACAGCTTCCACTCCTTAAGAGCAGTCAAATGCTGGAATTTGTTGCCAGATAAGCTAGTCCAAGAGACTTTACAGAAGTCCTTTAAGGGAAAATTTGACTTGTTCTTAAGGACTAAGGACAGTACCTTACAATGATTTACCAACATTTTTCCTTTTCCCTCTTTTATCATTAATATAACTAGGTTCCTACCTAAATGCATCGGTGATCCATTGCTACTAGATATGAAAGCCCGTTAAGCGAACGCTTCTTCTATTCCGTCCTGACCATTTGGACCATTTAATTATGGCGACTTTGCTGAAGTATTGCGGTACTCCAACTAATGTCGTGCATTTCCGTAACGCTGCGGTGCTCACCTCCTCTGGAGTATATTCCACTTTTCTCATATTTAAATTAAAATAGAGGCGCAAAATGCCACTCCTTACGGGACCAGAACGTGAACAGATGCTTCCTCCTTTACTAAACATCCACCATTGGGAGTTGTGCCAACATGGTTCTAGAGAGGCCATACGACGCTCTTTTATGTTTAAAAACTTTGATGTAGCATTCGACTTCATGAAGAAAATAGCAGACAAATCCAAAATTATGAATCACCACCCTGAATGGTTCAATGTGTATAATAAGGTATGTCACTTGTCAGTATCAGTAGATTCTCCAATATAAGTTCCATTTTTAAAAAATCCATGTCATGTTGAGTAACAACTTCAATGAGGTAAGTCCATCTACGGTAGCCCTACAGAACGGTAGTTTATATGGTATGGTCTGAGATTCATCAAAGCTCCCAACGTTTATAAGATTTAGATTTAGGGAACTAAATTATGGTGAAAAAGCGGTCAAATTTCAGATAAGCTACTGGTATTTTTACGCAAAATTCACTTGTACTTTTGACTACTTGTAGTCCTTGTACTAAGGCTGGTATCAGTTTATAATGAAAATGTTTCAACTGTTTTGTTTTATCGATTCGGTATTGTTTAACATACATAATTCCCGTGTGACATCATGTAATCTGGACTAACTGTATAAAATCACATAAGATTGCTCCAATCAGAATATGGTAGTACTTGATATAAATATCAAAAGTGCCGAATGCAAATTTGAGCCACCTCTGATTGATTCTAAACTAAATTTGCGATCTTGGCATAATATCATATAGCAGGGAGCAGACTACTTTATCCAAATTTTAATCAAACAAGTGTGTCTAAATATCGTTGGTATAGTCTGTTCAGTCTTAATATCAAGTTTCCCTATAACTATCAAAATAATGTTCAAAGAATATCAATGTTACTCAGGATTTGAACACCAATTCTGAGTTGTTTTTCACATTTAACAACTATCTCTTACCTAGTATCGTATATGTTTTTTTGTTGAACGCCTTGAGAAAGTTTAATCATGACTTTTCAATCGCAACCACATGCTTTTTGCGTTTTGTTTATCATTTGCACATCTGATAGTCATGTAACTTAACAACTACATTTTTGTGCACTATAGGGGCTAATGAATATTCCAGATTCTCTAGATAGATGTGGCCAGGTTTGAAACTACAATTTATCAGTTGGAAGAGAAGTGCCTTAACTATTCTTTCAGGCAGTGTACCAGACATGTTGATAAACAATTATAAAGTAATCTATTCGCTTAACTTACCTACCTACTGAAGAGGAACCCTCAATGACTAGTATAAATGAGCTTTTTAGCTCTGCTTTAGCTTCCTATTCCGTTTTGCATATACTTTACGGTTGTGAAGGTTGGTCTTTTAAATAGGGTATTCGTATGTTACAATTACTCGATCATAATACATACCTAAGGATTACTCTTGTATGTTGGAACTATTAAGTTAGCAACTCTGTGATTATTAGGTATGAGTAGCAAATCATTTAGCGGAGTACTGAGTCTTTATCGACTGAGATGATCGGGACATGTTTTAAGCATGCATATCTACCGCCCACACCAAAGCACGATAATGGCTGGTGTTGAAGTAGGTTGGAAATAGCTAGGAGCAGTCAAGCTAAAAAATGGCACCAGTCTATGAAGTCAACTAACATTATACTGAACCATGTATATAAATGCAAAGTAGCTAGTTTGTGTCCAAATGTCTATCACAGGCGGCGGTCAGAGACCTTAGGCAACATTGTTCAGAATCGCTCGCAATGGAGAAAGTAAACTCACTTTGTCTTCCCCTAGATCTTAAATTTTAAACTATCTAGTCAACCTTTTTACTACATGAATCCGTATTTTGTATGCCCAACCTTTTCTGTTACCAATTATACTTGGACTATCTCTACTATTCTGGAATTCACGTCTAAAATTTCATCACGTCTTGCTAGTGAGGTATTTCTACGTAAACTGGACATACATGTACTAGGTTTTACCTTGCCTATGACTAGATGGTTTCACTGATATGGGTGTCCCACTACCTTCGGCATTATTTGCCGACGTTGGAACTGGTTGGAAAAAGCGGAGAGGTGGTCAGTGTATGACATGGTGTCGTGGTATGAAAGAAAGCTGCAAAGGGCTGGCCTGTGTTGGTCCTTCACGACTCCCTGGCTGGAGTCCGAGAGATGGTGCAACGCAGTGGCTAGAGGCGTTATCAGATATGGCTCAGAATAGGAGCCAGTGGCGATCATGCTGTAACCTTTTACTTTCTTCATAAAAAGTGGTTGTTTCTTCCTTAACTGGAAGATTTCTTTTGATTGTTCCTTTCCGTTTCCCCATTATTGCTATTATTATTATTTTTATTACTGTTATACTACCTTGCACTAATCTGTTCGTTATTGTCCTTTATTCTTTTTACGCTCCTTACCTTCTTTTTTCTCTCCTGGAATTCTCATTGTTTCGTGTGGCGCATATATATTTGGTGCCTTATTGTACCAATATTTATGTGTTCAAATATATAAATAAATAAATAGAAGCAAAAGAGTTGAAAGAGAAAGCATCGACAAGTAGCTCTAGATAGTTGTTTAGGTCGACCACAGTCAAACGTTACACACTAATCAGTCAGGCAATGTCGTGAAAAGTCATATTAGTGAGCCACTGTCAAACCAAAGACTGGAACAATCGTTAGATCGTTTTAAAAAGAATCTGATCGACGTTAATCTGCTTTTTTATTACCCAATTGCTCAATGTAACATTTGAATTAACCCTTTCGGTCTTGGTAAAGTTTTAAAAATGATAACTAACTTTAACTTAGTTAACCCAATGGTTTTTACGGGTTAACTCTAGAAGACTTCAAAGATAATTGTTCAGTGTTATCAATTAAATTGAATAAGATATTAATCGATCTTACAGCTAAATATAATTCTCTCATACTGGTCTTAATTATCTGAAAATAGTTGATTGTAGTTTATTTTTTACACTGTTTGATCATGTTTGTTCTGAATGGATGAAACAATGGTCAATGTACTTTGCCTTATTATTTACATATAAAAATAAAAGTTGAGCTAAGAAATGTTTTTTTTCCCAATTAGTTTTTCATCAAGGTTCTACATTATTATAAGTTGGCTTTATGATTAAGTTTAAAAGCAATATCGGAATATATGGTAGTGAATCAGTTTAACAATATAGTAACCAGTTTTTAACACAACAGATGGAAAATTAGAAGTTAATTGACATTAGTAGTCGGCTAATCATTAATTCTAGTTACATATGAGTAAGAATCTTCTTTAAAACTGAGTATCAATGTTTTGTGTTACCTAGGTGACATAGATAAGTAATTAATAAAATGTATGCAATGAAAATTAGATATTCGTTAGTGTGGGGTTGTGGAGATTGTTGGACGTAATTAAAATCATGAACCGACCTAAGTTGAACCACCATTAAAAGCCCGGAAACTTCCAGGTACTAGGTAAAGATGGAAAATGAATTGATATGGTGGTGTCTTCAGCTGAAGTGGTTGTGGCATGTACTGCGTGTACCTAACCACTGCCTATCTCGATCGCTAATACTGTCTAGGGTAAAAGAAGGCTAGAAGAAATTAGGGGCAGCCAATTTTAAGACGTGACACCATTTCATGAAGTTATTGACAGTCGGAATAAATCATCTTAATAGGTGTAGACTACTTTTTGGGGTCTGTGTGATTATCTCAACCAATGGTTAGAAGGTTTGAATGACATGGCTTAGAATCGTTCACTGTGGCACAGGTACACTCACTTTTTATTTTTTAGAACTTGAGTCCTGAAATCTCTTTATACTTTATTCTATTTTTCTATACCTAATCTTTTCTACTATTTGGTTTGTCTTAAAATAATTTTATCTCACTATACTAATGTGACATGACAACATTGAACTGATACACATATGTATCAGGTTCTACATTGCGTTTATTCATTATGATGACCTATCTGCCCAAACTGAAATAGAAAAAATGTAACTAGAATTTAAACTTTGGTTACTGAATTAGGACTCTTATACTCATTAACTCACTACTTCTTTCAAATAATTTGGTAACTAGGTCTATTTTTAGTGTTTGGTTAGTGATCTGAGTCAACAGGTCCGTCGAAACCTTTTCTTTTTGTTGTTGTTGTTGTTGTAAAACATGTATATTTTATTTTAAGCCAAATATTTATCTGGAAATTTTCAAAACAGATTATTTTCTATTTCACTAGTTGAAATTATGAGTCGATTGAAGCTAGACCACCATGGAAAACCTAGAAGCACTGGACGACCGTTTCGTCCTATTGTGGGACTCTTCAGCAGTGCGCATCCACGATCCCGCACCCCGCGAGATTCGAACCCAGGACCTGTCAGCCTCGCACCCGGGCGCTTAACCAACTAGACCACTGAGCCGGCATCCAACGGTGTTAATGTCTAACTTCAACCAATCCACGAAGTTGCGCCACCGTACACATGAGACTGATAGGTCCTGGGTTCGAATTTTGCGGGGTGTGGGATCCTGGATGCGCACTGCTGAAGAGCCCCGCACTAGGACGAAACGGCCGTCCAGTGCTTCTAGGTTTTCCATAGTGGTCTAGCTTCAATTGACTCGTGATTTCAACCAGTGAAATTGCTAAAATCTCCACAAAACCCCTTCTGATATTTTCTATTTACCAATTGTCATTTAGTCCCATGTAATATAACTACTAGCTAAAAACAATCTGTTTTTATAAAGTAAAAAATAATAGTCATGATTGATTAAGACTTGTAAGACGAATTCATACAATACAAAATGTCGTCATAGTAATATTAATGTATAATTTCTTTTCTATTCTTTTCACAAATCATGTGTTAATTCTTCCATGTTGTCGTTGTACATGACACTTACTTTTGCAAGTTGTGCAACTTAGTGAAACAGATGCATAAATTACTCTTTTTTTCTTTTTAAAACAAGAAATTAATTTAAACGATAATTTATGTATAAATCAGTGCATTGAGATCATTCATTATACTTGTTATGTCAATATGAAATAACTCATTATTCAAATGTGTATTTAGATTACAAAATCATCTCTTGTTATTATTTTTAAAATGTTAAGTTCTGATCCTTTTCATTGTAGTTTAAAATTAAGTATAAAGTTAATTAGTGGCTTATCAGTTGTAGATAAAGCTTTTAATTATAAGATTTTTAGGTCTGAACCATTTGATCAATTCGGATGGTATCCGCATAAAAAAAATGCAATGCGAAGTTGAATACACAAACTTGTAGTTGGTGATTGAGTCACACTATCTAGAATTAAAACAAATATTTGATTTAAATTCACTTGATGTTGTTTTACTTGTACCTTCCCATTGTTATTTAGGACTGCAATTGACCAGTCTCTTATTGGCATATGTGCATCCTGTGTGGATCGCCTCGATATAGCCTTAAGTCACAAGCTTTTTAAGCAAATATGAATAGTGGCTAGTAGTGGAATCCAGTTTGACGCGCGTTTCATCCCATTCGGGACTAATCAGCTGCATGCACCTGCATCCCAGAGTTGCTTAAAATGCTTGTAACTTAAGGCTATATCGGGGCAATCCGTTCAGGATGCACATATGCCAATAAGAGACCGGTCAATTGCAGTCCTAAATAACAATGGGAAGGTACAAGTAAAACAACAGCACCAAGTGAATTTAAACGTTACCCCATTGCACAAGCAGGCTATCAGGACTCAGTAGCTAAGTGGATAACGCGATGGTGTTTAAAGCGAACGGTACTGGGTTCGAGTCCCAGAGTGAATATCAACTCAGATTCGGGTACATCCATCTGACGAGTCCCAAATAGAATGAAACGCTTGTCCTGGATTCCACTGCTAGCCACTATCCATATTTGCTTAAAAATATTTGGTTTTCCTAGAATTTCATGAATTACGTATCATGAGATCATGCCAACCCTATAAATTTCGATGCTCTTGTGAAGTTGGCAGTTGTCAAAGATAACACTGCAAGGTTTACACTACTTAATATACAACGATTTATTACGTCGATAGTCGTTCTTGATTGTTGCGGCATCATGTAAATAAATCACTCTATACCGTTAGCTATAAGTCGACAGTTCTTGTTCTTATCATGACTTTATTGAATTTTACTATCAAGTTATCGTTTTATATTCAGTAGGTATTATTTACTGAATATTCTGAATTATTGGTGATCGGTTATTTTTTAAAATCTTCATGGATTATCATCTAGCCGTTTCAGATGGACTGGCGCTAACATACTATCCAGTCGTGCAGTTAGATTTGATCTTAACTTCCTGCTTTTAGTCGCTAATTTTTCTAATTTGCAAGAAAGTGATAATCACAGAAAACTTAGTTTGATCAGTAACTCTTGAATCTCATAATCACTCATCGCTTAACTAGATTTCTGCAAAAGCAAGCCTGGAAAGATTAAACAGTCTTCAAACCTTAACGTTTATGTACCAATCAAATATTTACTTTTCACTTATTTTCAAAACAACCATACCTATACTCGTCTGTGTCGTCAATGTCGAAACAGCTTTTCATGTACTCCATTATACCAGACACTTATTTGAACATTATTGATCCGTCCGAGGTCTGCAGGGGGCTGTTATTTAAGTAGTCTACACGAAATTGTTCTGACCATGCCTGCATGCTCTCCTCAATTTAAATTTGTCTTGACTGCCTTAGAAGGTAATTCTCCGTCTTATTTTTTGGATATTGACGACCTTAATCGGGAGTTACTTACATAGATTATACAAATGACGTAGTTTTAATTTGTGAAGGTTCTGGCAAAAACAGTTTTGTGAATGGTTTGAATGACATTCTGAAATGCTCCACCTGGACTGATATGTATCAAGTTTTGACCGATTACATTAATCTGGACACACAAACAACCCTGACTGTTAATAGTCAACAATATTGCTATATGAATGTAAAAATTGAGCTTAAATTTTACTATGGTGGAGATTTGTAGCTCAGGTGGATGATTTTAATGGAGTTTTGTTCCCTGAGCTGGATGGTTTGGTCGTGGAGCTTCCATCGTTATTCTGAACGACATCATCAGCACAAACTTCAGATAAAAGTGAAGTGTTCGGATTTCTCCACATATGGCTTACAGCTTGTCCTGTAAACCTCGATGTTGATTGGTTATTGTTGACCTTTAACTTGTCATTGTTTACTTCTTTATTTTGATTACATCTCCCGTTGGTTTGATTTTTGGTCCTATATTTGTCCAAAAATTTTCTGATTGGTTGATAAATTGAATCAATTTCAAGGTGTTTGTTGATTGCTGATTGACCAGAGTGCAAAGCTTCTAAAAGTTTTCTGGTGATTTTCGAATTGCATCTATCCAAGATCTCAACATTTTCCCAGTTGATCGTATGTCCTCATGCATTGATATAAGTGAGGATATATCATGGTGTTTAATCGCTGATTGATGTTCATGCATGCGAAGATGAAGAGCGCGACCGGTTTACTAACTTGCACTAATTGTGTTATAGGTAGGATATCCATTTGTCTCCCAAAAAAGTGCGAACATACTTTATAACCTTGTATAATTTCAACATCATTCTTTTTTATTGAGTATGACTAACAAGTTAATATACCATAAATATTTTTTTTCAAACTTATAGGTGGACATACTACTCACTTCACATGATGCAGGAGGTCTTTCACGACGAGATATTGATCTTGCCAATTTCATCAATGATGCAGCGTTTGAATATCAAGCAAAATAAACAATTTGTTGATGTTGGTCATTTATGTGTGTTTATAATCTTTTTTGTTTGTTGAATAGATTGTATTTTCTTTCAATGGAGCATATATAGGAGTCTCTGACTTTCTTTATCTTGAAATAATCTCTAAACGAATGCACACTTAAACACTGAGTGTAACAGGTTGAGTGTATTATTTAAACATCATAGATCAATCAAGGCTTGAATGTTAAATCAGTTCTTTTCGATTACTACCTTTAAACAAGTGTGTCTAACTTCACAGTACATAATCATTTCATATTTCTCCATAATACTAACACTAACGAATACCTTTTCAATATCTATTCCGTTAATAATTCGAAATAACTATCTACTATTACTGATCGTCTCTCCTTTGTCCAACGCATTATCATTGCTACTATATCATTTCGATTATTTTGTTATTTATGTTAATTTCACAATATTGTGTTAATGTGGTATAAAAAGTCGGGTCGACGTATATTTTCACCAGGCTCTACATTGATTACGATTAACTAATACTTACTTTTTTCCCTTACGCCTGTTACTCCCAATGACTCATAGGCTGTCGACCAGCATTCTCCAGCCCACTCTGTCTTGGACCTTCTTTTCTAGTCCCATCCAATTCTTGTTCATTTTTCTCATGTCTATCTCCATTTCCCGGCGTAATGTGTTCCTTGGTCTTCCTCTTCTCATTTGGCCTTGAGGATTCCATGTGAGGGCTTGTCTTGTGACGCAGTTGAGTGCTTTCCTCAATGTGTGTCCTATCCACTTCCAGCGTTTCTTCCTGATTTCTTCCTCCGCTGGGATCTGGTTTGTTCTATCCCACAGTTGGTTGTTGCTGAGATAGTGTCTGGCCAACGAATCAGAAATATTTTGCGCAGACAGTTGTTAATAAACACCTGTATTTTGTGGATGATGGCTTTGGTAGTTCTCCAGGTTTCTTCCCCATACAGTAGAACTGTGTTGACATTTGTATTGAAAATCCTGACCTTGATGTTGGTTGACAGTTGCTTTGAGTTCCAGATGTCCCTCAGTTGTAAATATGCTGCTCTTGCTTTGCCGATCCGCGCCTTTACATCTGCATCAGGTCCACTGTGTTCATCAACGATGCTGCACAGATATGTAAAAGTATTTACATCTTCCAAATGTTCTCCGTCAATTGTGATTGGATTGGTGCATACTGTGTTGTATCGGAGAATCTTGTTTTTCCCTTTGTGTATGTTGAGACCTACTGCTGCCACACTGTTCGTCTTCTGCATTTGTTGTTGCGTTTGGGATAGAAGGGCCAGATCATCTGCGAAGTCTAGATCGTCCAACTGCATCCTAGATGTCCATTATATCCCGTGCTTCCGATTAACTGATAGCTTACAATCAAAAGCGTAAAACATTAAAGTGAGTTTTAAACGATTTATCACCAAGTAAATGTCATAACATGTGGCCTGTGTGCCCTGTGAATGTATAACGTAACGATAGCGCCAAATAGAGAGCAGTGGATTATCGATCGGACCAATGACGCGTAAACACGTACGAGCAGTCTAGAGTACTTATCGGTCCTGCTTCCCGCCTAGCCCAGCCAGTTAAGTCCAGAACACCAGTCTTAGCCTCTGCAATATGAATCATTATATTTCAAACATACTAGGTTTATATACCAACCAGACAGCCCACATCGTACCAATAAAACAGGAAACACGTTTATACAAGAATTAGCCAAATGTGGCTGTGAATATGGAAATTAATAATTGATAGATAGGGTATAACTCAAGAATAGTAAATCGTATAATAATAGTTCATGGGTCAAAATAAAGCTCATAATAAGAGGGATATGAATATGTATAGTTTAGTTATTTAACAATGATACGATAAAAATATAAGTATAGTAGTGGTCCATAAATGGATCCCAAAAGTTATCATTCATTATGCTTATCGGGACATAACAGTAAGGCAATAGTATTTAATGTTTATGATGGGAGCATATGTTGTTGTTAACCTCATATCTACAAGAAGTACATTCATACATTATCTAACTGAATACACTAATATCACTTAATATCTAACCTATTTTTACTATTATCTACTTGAAATTATCCTTAATTCATACGATTTATCTCTTTTGTAGTAGTTAATATCAATGATACTTTTTCTACATATTTATGTCTTCCTTCCGATAACATTTAACACAACATGTTATTGAGCAGTGATTTAAAGTCACTACTATAAGAATAATAGTCGAATTCATCAAGATTCACTACATCAAACAACGACAAATTATTCTGATTGTTTCCTAACAATATACTGTTAATTACACTGATGAAAACAATCCTTATTGTTGTACCCCCAAATGCCCTGGTACGGCCGGGGGTGGGTAGAATCATCTCTCTCTCTCGAAATGCTCTCCTATGGCCACGCGTATACAACACTGCCAGCGAAGTCCTACTCACTGCCTTCTCGTGGCGTTACTGTTGCTTACGAAATTGAGAGGACGAAAAGCGATTGACCGGTGCTATAACCGGCTTAGTGAATATGGAAAGCCCTGACTGCAAACTACTGGTGCACATTGACTCCAGCATTTTGAGGGAATAAATGGCGCGTGAACCTATCGTTGGTCACCAGCCGCCGTGGGGTTGCATCTCCTGACTTCGCTCCACTGCCTTGTGGGTCTTTGGTGGTTCGTTGATCTGACTCCATTTAGATCGTATGGATAATTGTATGGATGTTTGTTATCACCTATTCTCGTATATCATCGTCGACTTAAATCGGGTTATCCAATAACGGAATTAAATAAGTCGAATAACGAGAATTGACTTGAGAATACATATATTTCGTACATGAAGCGAATGAAACATAGCAAAGCAAAATGACACGTATGGAAGATGGCTGGGAAGCCAACTCCATCTTTGTCAAGCGTTACTCAATATTTATAGTCAGACAAAATAAAGCTACAGATATGTGATTAATAGGATAAGAAGGGCACTCACATATACGCTCATATAAAAAAGTCTAGATTGATAAGCGAATAAATAACAAGGTCAAAGTATGGCTCGAGTAGAATGAATAAAATGGGATGTCCGGAAGCTAGAATAAGGTATATGGGCTTGGCATAATAACTGACACTACAGGTCAGACCTTCAGGTCGAAGGCTCCAGACGTGGCCCCTTAAGGAAACCACCTGCTTCGGTTTGGGCAGCCGTGCAGTATCACAGTCCACACAAATCAAGTGACTTGTGTAACGCATATGTATTCGGTGCCCCTTTGTACCATTATTTATGTGTTGAAACAAATAGTCCTTATTGTTGTAGTCCTAAAATTATAATAAACTAATCTCATATCTATCAACTCATGGGTAATTTATCGATCGGAAATTTGGAGAAAACATTCTGCTATAAACGAACACTAATGTTAAGGGGAAAAGATATAACTATCATGGATTTTATATTCCCCATACTAACTGAGATTATTGGATTATCGAATCCACTTACGATGTATTCGTTTTATACCTATCAAACCAATAACTCCCTATCCAATAGGACTGATCAGAAATCTCATTGGTCCGCATAGCTTTTCCTATCCCTCTCGGTCATTCGGTAAACGGGTACATTAAGCAGATTTAACTATCCTGTGTTATCATCCTGACACACGAACTCACAGGATCACTCATGCTAATTATATGACCACAAAACTCCATGAATAAGAAACCATAATTTGTTTTAAAAAACCTCGGTTATATATGATACAAAACTGCGTAACAAATGCATAGTTGACTAAATGACAGTTTGCAATAAGAGCGATATTAAAATACTCTGAACCAAGTCTTTAATAAATACAATCAATCTATAATAATTTTCTGTAGAATCGTTTCAAGAGTCCAACCTCCCAATTAGTCGCTTCAATCTAACCATGTCATTTTCCTTCATTATGGGGCTGTGGAGATCGCTGAGTTTTATTGAGATCACTAACCAATCGATCTAGGTTAGACAGACATGATTTTAATGACTGTTCAACTTGCATTAATTCGTTATCTTAAGAGAATGTCTTGTGCAAGAATATTAATCATTTTGCGAGCTATTTCGAAATGAACAAACTAGAGGAAATTTATTCACCTGGACAGCAGGTGACTTTATTTAGACTTGAGAAGTACTACTTCTTACTCCGTCGTATGTTTTTCTGTTTAATTAGGTTGGTCAAGAAGGCGTAGTAGCTAAGCTGAGCAAATGGGCGTGAGATATGATAATGATAGGACGAAACATGTGGTGTGATTTAACTTCTAGTTACCATACAACTGTACTTGCAATGAGGAGTTTATCGCGTTTTCATTTTTACGTATATGGGTTATCTTATTATGAATGTAGTTACAAATAAGTGACAACTAATTTGACACCCATACCATTAACTTTGGATAGTGAAAGTATGTATAACTTAGCTTATGCTATAAAGGAAAGCTTGAAAAGTGATCATATTCTTGAGGGTAGGTAAGTAAAATTGTAGAACATAAATGACGGTCAATAAGTGTTAAGTATCATAAAAATCATGAAACGAATTAAAGTCTTATTAGTCGACTTTAACCCTTGACTACTCAAGTGACGATAGACTGCACGAATATAAAAAGTGAAATCATTGTCAAAAGGTTAGTAAGAGAAGTCTTGTTCCATATTGCTCCCTCTGAGTTCGGGATTTCCAGTGGCTGTGTTAAATTCTTATTACTGAAGGATTGCTTATATTGACATCTAAGTAATGATGAAGCTTATCAACATGTGTTCATCATCAGTGATAGTAATTCTTTTAAAGTTACCATCGTGAAACATGGGTATGCTGTGCAAATATCGTCCCAATGGCTTCTACACTATGCATTATTTGCCGACTACGGGATTAGTTAAAAAAATGGACTAGGTAATCAGTTTATGATATAGTGGTATTAGATGAAGAATAGCTATATTATGCTGCTACTGGTTGACAAGCAAGAACTCTAAAAATAGTCCTAGAGATTATGTACTTCAGTGGCTTGAAACTTAATCAGGTATGAGTTAGAACAGAAATCATTGCGAAACCTCCAAATGTCTTCTAACTAGTTTTTTTCTAAAAATAAAACGAACTTAACAGAAAATAACTTCAGATGGGTTTTTGTGGAGATTGTAGTAATTTCAATCGTTAAGATCATGAGTCAGTTGAAGCTAGACTACCATGGAAAACCTGGAAGCACTGGACGGCCGTTTCGTCCTATTGTGGGACTCCTCAACAGTGCGCAACCACGATCCCGCCCATGGGGTTGGAACCCAGGGCCTTCAGTCTCGCGCGCGAACTTTAATGCCATTGGATACCGGCTCAGTGATCTAGTAGGTTGAGCGTTCGCCCGCGAGACTGAAGGCCCTGGAGCGAAACGACCGTCCAGT